TGGCAATTGCTTTATATTACTGTAGTCAATGAGCAGCATTCCATGTAGTGATCATTTACTTATGCTCTGCAGCTTGCCCATGGAATCCAGGTGCAAACACCTCTCTATGGATGTTATGAGAGCTGACAACACTTCCCAAAGCCTGTTGCCACAGTTTCTAACAAGGACTGCCAGTTTGACCTCACCATACATTGGAGGCATCTATAATCCCAATCTGTCAGTATTTTCAGTCTTTCAGGTCAGATTTTGGGTTTTATAACTCCTTCACGTTTCCATTTCACTACAACATTGCTCACTGTTGAACACGGTATCTGGAACTTTCTAGAAACTTCAGATAGAATGGCCAAATCGATGGGCACCAATAATCATACCACATTCAGCCTCACTCAGCTTGCGTCATTTGTTCATTTTGATAGCAATAACTGTAATACACATCTACTATGGGTTTATGGTCCTTTTATTGCATCAGGATTTGCACCTTTGACGCATGGGCAAATCTGCATATGTTCAAGGAAGTGTCTGGTTATTTCTGACAATATAGTGTATATGATTGCTTTCATTTTAATTTGAATAAAATTAGAAAAATAAAGTGCAGTTTAAAAATATTAATATAATTGTATTTTAATTGTTTTGAATTATTTTTAAGTTAAATGTTGTTCTGGAAATTTGTGTGAATTTTAAAATTTAGTTTTTCAAGCTAGTAAAATGTCTTATTATATATATTTATATTACATTTCTCTTTATGAACAAAAGAACAAGTTTCTTTAACAGCATTTTATGTATTTATTAATCTATAAAAATGAATTGTTTTTTCAAATTAAATCAATTTATTAATCATAATAGGCCATAGCCTGATATAACAAGGTGTTAGGCTTACATTATATCAAATTAACTTATATCAGCATTAACAATACAGTCGACCCTCCTATAACACTGTTGATAATTCCGTTTTATATGAATTCCATGCTGTACGAGTCACTTAGATTTTACAAATACATGTGCCGGACTGCGAATGGATCACGTATTTGTAAAATCTAAGTGACTCGTACAACATGGAATTCATATAAAACGGAATTATAAACAGTGTTATAGAGGGGTCGACTGTAATCATGTAAAACTAAGTATCCTATAATTACAATACTCATGAATATCAGATTTGTTACATAAAATTAGAAAGGCTGATTACAAAAAGTTTTTGCGAAATTATATAATTGGTATATCATTGTAGTATTTGCTAAATGAAATAACTGATGCATTTGATTTTTCTGCTTAAAAGGTATTTAGCTGATTTAGTTCACCATTAATTCTTAGTTTCTGGCCTTCCTTGCACTCACAAAACATATGAAGTTTCGTCAATCTTTCTTTGCATCTTGGACAGTATGTTTTCAAGAATTCATAAATTTTATTATTTACCATAATTATCTTTTTATTTAATCTAAGTTGGATATAAAATTTCTTGATTGCAAATGGCATATTTGATAACATGTAGTTATTATTAAAAGGGTAATCTAGAATACAGTAGAGCATTGATTATCTGACTCAATTGGGGACTCAGGTTGGTCGGATAACTGAAAAGAATGAAAAAAATACATTATTAGTATAGTATATTAGTATATCGCTATTAACCAACTGTGCGTTGAATTTTCATCAATGTTAAGCCTAACAAATTTTTTAAAAAATAATAATCGTTGCTATTGTATTGTTAAAATTATTTTTAAATTTTTTTATTGCTCACAAAACAACCAACCACTCATAATTAGAAAATTAAGTCTCGTTTAAATACTGGCCTCCCTTCAATGGTCGAGCCGATGTTGTCAACTAAAACACGCAAAAATTTAACAAAAATAATAATAAAGTAGCGAAGACATAGCCAAATATTGTAGTGCCATATCACTAGCGGACATTTGAAATTTGCCAACTAGAACGGTTGGTTAACCGATGTGACGGTTAATCGGGGATCAGATAATCGATGCTCTACTGTAATGCTGTACCACTCTGGTTCTTTCGGTTGTACATTTCTTCAATGTCTTGAGATAGAGAAATTTCCAATGTATTTTGGATTAGTTGAGTTTTAATCAGGTTGCTGGTTTCTGATTTTATCAGAGGTGGAGTTATAGAAACACCAAAGTCGTTGACAATATTTGTCATTTGGTTCACCCAAGAACTTTTTTGCGGATTTTGACAGGATTTTTGATATAACAAGAACAACAGTTCAGAAGGTAAAGTTCCATTATCTCTAATCTTGAAAAGAAAATTGATGAACCTTTTTACAAAGAAGGGAGTTAATTTGAACCTGTTAAGTTCTAGCCTGTTAAATGCATATCCAAAAATGTTATAATCTAGAGTAAAAATTTTGTGGATGAATTTATTTTGAATTATGCCAAATTTTTTCCAACTTGTAAGGCTCCAAATTGGAAAGGTGTAGCCTGTGGCAGAGATGGCGAACCTATGGCACGCGTGCCATAGGTTGAAGAAATCATCTTGCACGTAACATGTTATACGATTTCAGTTTATCTTTTTCAATCAAGTTGTTTACATTTACTCTAATTACAACATATTATTTTATTTATTTAAATATAGTTTTTAAAACTCTTTTCGCCCTGTGGGCACTAAGGGGGCTTTATTTAGCAAACTCCAAATGGAACAGCCAGGTGGTGAAGAATGGATCACCACCTGAAAATTTTCTGGGGATTTTTTTGATCTTGGGTCCACAAGAGCAATAAGCTACGACTTTGACCGCTCAGCCATTTGGCCAAATTTAAATATAGTTACTAGAAGTCTAAAACTTCTGCATGTGTAATCATTTTTAAAGAAAAGTATGCTTAACATGCTTACTATGTGGCATGCAGACTCAAAAAGGTTTGCCATCCCTGGCCTATGGCATTAATAATTATTGAGTTAAACAGTCTCATGTGAATAAATATATTCTTAAGTTTACTTTGGGAAAACAACTTCACCATATTATTGATCAATAGGTTGATTTGGAAATAATTTTTTTATTTTGTTTTTTGAAAGTTAGCCTAGGAGTCAGGACTATTCCCAAAAACTTGACTTTTTGTATTATCATAAGCTGTACGTTGTTCAGATAAAAGGATGTACTTTTTTTTAGCAACTCTAGCATTGTTCCGGAAAATCATTATTTAGGATTTGCTTGGATTAATTTTTAATTTTAATTTATCGAAATATTCATGAGCTTTTTTAATTTTTCTACGAAGAACTGCAGCCGTAGGGGCAACTATCACAACATTGTCAGCATATGATATGGAGTGAACTATTTGGCCATTAATAGAAAATCCATCGTCTTCCTGGTCAAAACATTCACTATATCAAACAAAAAAAGTTAAAAAGATAAGGGGACCAAGGGTCTCCTTGTAATAAATCTCCATTCATTTGTATGGATGGCCATTCCCTGTAAAAGTGTTTAATTTTCAAATTATAATGACCGAATAATTCCCCAATTATTCTTACTATGTTATCATCTGCACCATATTTAATTAATTTATTTCTGTGATTATTACAATATTACAAATCATACGTTTTTTCTATATCCAAAAATAATGCGAAAACTTTGTGTCTTTTTTTATCCAACTGAAGTTGGACTAGAGCAATTAGTGTAAATAAAGCAATCTGGATACCTCCATTCTTTGTAAATGCAAACTGTGTATAGTTTAAGTAGTTATTTTGATCAATCCAATTGGTGAACTTTTGAGATTAGCACTGATATAAATAATTTTCGAAAGCTCAACAAGAGGGCAATTGGATGATAATTAGCTGGACAATTTCTCTCGTCCTTTTTGAATATCATTTGAAAAATAACTGTTTTAATCTTTAGGAATAGTACCAGAGTTATAAAATTTATTATATTGGATAACTAAAAACTTGATGGCATCTGTTGGGAGATTTTTGATTATATAGTTAGGAATTGTCAGTGCCGGGAGTCTATTTTTCTCTTAGCTTTTTAATACAATTGTGTAAATTTTCTACGTTGAATACTTCTACTGATGGTTGGTTAAAGGCTATATTAAGTTGTAGGATGACTATAATTGTTTTTATAATTGACTGAAAATTCATTGAAATACTGGCACCAATTATTATATGTTGCATAGCATTTGGTATTCATAATTGGTGACGTTTTCAAAATTTATTTATAATAATCCAAAATTTTTTGGTATCTTTTGATTTTAATAACTGATCACTCATTACTGAAAAATGTTTCTTCTTTTTTGCTTTTGTGAGGACCCGAACAGGGGTCGACTGAGAGGTCCGAATTATGGGTTCAANTAATTTTTTTTGTAATTGACTGAAAATTCATTGAAATACTGGCACCATTTATTATATGTTGCATAGCATTTGGTATTCATAATTGGTGACGTTTTTTGAAATTTATTTATAATAATCCAAAATTTTTTGGTATCTTTTGATTTTAATAACTGATCACTCCTTACTGAAAAATATTTCTTTGTTTTTTTGCTTTCACCATTATATCACCCCATAATAACTCAGATCAATCCTTGAAAGAATATTTGGGAAACAAGAAAAGGTATCTGTTCTTGTTTTCTAAATATTCTTTCAAGGATTGATCCACATTTGTATTTCTGAAATGTTGTAAACTTTGTTGTTTTTTGATCTTGTGGTGGTAACAATTATTATCAAACCATATATTGTACTCTCTTATTATTAAAACAGCTTTTATAGTGATACAAATTTATTATCCTCAGCAGATTATCATAATTTTGTATAGGAGTATTATATATCTCGGAATCCAGAATCTCTCATAGTTTATTATTTATTTTAGTTTTAAATTTTAACAGATTGAATCGTCATCCAGTGTTCTTTTTGTGAGTTTGACTGTTTTATAAAAATGAATTGTAATTGTTGTTAAATTCAATATTTTGTAAGAAAATTAAGAATATTGTTAACAAAATATAGAAAATTTTAGTTTAAATACAGTAATTATCTCTTCACTATATTTTTTATAAAACTTTAAAATTTATATTAGGCAATTGTTTTAACTTAATAACATTTCTAGAATTTCCATGAGCATGGATAACAGTATTGCATTATTGAATGTGACTTCTGGTGATGAAAATAAAAAGGAATCTCAAAAAATTACATTATTAGAAGAAAATGAAATACTTTTAAGAAAACAAATTGGAGAATTACAGGAATGCCTTAAGGAACAAGAGAAAAAGCTCAAATCTGTGCAGGAAGAACAAAATAAAGTAATTCAGTTGGAATCGGAAGTATCGGTATGAAAATTAATTTATTACTATTGTTATTTCATTTAAATTTTCAGTTATCAGTTAATAAAGTATTAATAAAATGTAAGTTGATAACATAGTTTATAACATTTTTTTAACATAATTAGTTTAAAATTCTTTTATATTTAATTAAATTATACAGAATATATTTATATTTCCTCTTTCAGTATATTATTTAATATTTCCTAAAGTTTTTGTTCATAAGTAAACATTTTTATATTTTTCATGTTTATTTAGTTGAAACTTTACATAGGAAGGATAGAGTATATGCCTGTACTTTTTGTAAAATTGAATTTCTAAAGTAATTTACTTTTATAATACAGTATTTAAATTTGTATATTTTTCAAGCCTAAATAATTTGATAGCTTAATTATAGGAATTATTAGTTTAATTAAATTTTCTCCTGATATCATTAATTTATCTTTAGAAGCTTCTTGCTTTATTTATGTAAAATTTAGCAAACAGTTTTTTTATATAATTATTAATCAATTTCATATTCTATTATATTAAAATGGTACAATGATGTTTTATAATGCATATTATCAGCAAATTTAAACAATAATCTATTAATAATAATATAACAGTAGTATTATTTCCTGATCAATTTACTTATCACAGTTTCTAATGTGTATCAGAAGTTTAAATTTCATTGCGAAAAATTACTTTTTTGCTACAGTTAAACATTAATTTGAAATTAAAAAAAAAATAGTTAAAACGTTTTCCTTTTTTTTAAATTTAATTATTTGTTATAAAAGAGCTTCCTGTCTCAAAAATTGTTGAAACTAAAATTTCTACTATAGTATTTGAGATTTTAGGTTTTTTTAATTATTTGTATTTGTAATATGGAAAAACATCTGTTCTACAATATTATTTTTTTTAAAACGAATAAAGAATGTTATGTAGATAAAGGTAAAATAACAAAATAAATGCATTGTATAACATATGTGAGAAACCAGTGACTAATAGGGCGAGTGGTTCCCTAAAAACCTCTTAATTAATCGGCACCGGTTTGGCGAAAACCACTCATTTTGTCTCTGGATGGCTTAAACAGTCGAGTGGGGAGCACAATGATTGAGTTGACAGGGTGTCTGTTTTCGAGTAAGACAGGCAGCCAGGTAAAAACATAACAAAAGTTTAATATATCTAAATCTTCAACTACAAGCTACACATGCATATATACCACTAAATGTACAGTACATGACTAAACAGTTAAGTACATTGCTCGTGATAGGATTTCCCATCCTATCTTCATTTAGAGAGAGAGTGTACATATGGGCTAACAAAATACCTCTGAGAGAAAACTGTTGTACTCTGTATCCCTGGAGGAATATAGAACATTTGACTGGTAGTATGACTGGTAGATCTTCTGTGTTCTGGGTATGGCTGCCTGAATAGGGTGAGACAGGAGACCTGTGTCACCTGACCCAAGTAGTACAGAGTGGTGGAATCTACTCTGTACTACTTGGGATGTGTCTGCCTGGCTATGGTGTCTGGTGATGTCTGCCCTGTCGGATCTCGGGGGATATCTGCCTGGGACTTAAGTTCTAGCCTCTTTTATACTCTCCAGTCTGGGAAAAACCCATCAGGTGATTGGATGTTTGGAGACAAAGTTGCAGCTGTGAGGTTAGAGGTTGCTGTCAATGATACTAAATTGTTGTTTTCACAGAGCTGACGATACCATATTTGGTTGAAGATCTGTACGATTCCTTCTGTTTACTTGTTCGACAGTTGACTTCCCCTCTTATAACAATAGTCTGTTATCGTTTCACACTAGCTTATTATAAATCTTTAACATTTGTTGATGAAAAGGGTGATATTCAAACCATTTAATGTGCAATGTTTTCTTAATGATTGAAATGGAGAAATAGGCTAAAAATTTCCTTAAATTAGGGCAGAATCAGTTCTGCCATCTCACACATACATAGTTGACTCAATGTAACAAGGTCCTTACAGTCCAGAAAATTTTACCCTATTGTATAAGATGCTGTATTACAAGGAAATACTTTCTACCAGGCTGTCTGTCACATGACAGCCATAGTTTGTCATCTTACTGTTCACCCTATTCATGTACTCTGTTTTTGTTCTGCTTTTTCTGTGTTAATATAACCAAGGGTTAAGTATTTATGCAGTGGCATATTTGACAAGATATTTCAGATTGACCCTACTGATTTTGAATTGTTCTGTTAATTAACTTTCAATTTGACTGAGTAGTCTATAAATAAGATAATAAAAGCAACAGGATTTGAAGAGGTTAGACAATAAATTTTACAGGCTGTCCATTTTCTATTGAAATATATTGTGTTAAATCAGCAAAAATAAATATATTTATACTGTATATGTTCATGTTAGCATATACATTACTACACTTATGGATTAAGTTAGAAATTTTATTATGTTCAAATTATTTTTGATGATATACAGTTGACCCCCCTATAAGATATAGATACGTTCCAATTTATTAGGAATCCGATTTCTTACAAGTCGTTCCAATCACAGCCCGACACGTGTCAAGTTTACGGACTACGGCTGATTGAAAGGTTTTCTTCCATAAAATTAATCGATTCTACACTAATCCGACTCAACATTTCCAAAATACGTATATTTTTTCGTAGTTTTATAGGAATCATAATTATAGGGACCGTAATTATAGGGGGGTCGACTGTATTTAAATACCAATATTTAAAAAAATATGTACTGTACATATGACAAACTAATCCCATAATAACAAAAACAGTTTCATTCATTACAGACTTTCCTTGAAGGCAACAAATGGAGCTAGAATTTATCTTTCCTATTGACAAATTTTCTCCAGAACTGCTAGTCTGTCATTTACATTTAAGTAACATAAAATGGTCTACAGGTATACCTCGCCTTACGTCGGTAATTGGTTCCAGGAAAACGACGTAAGTCGAATTTACTTGTCTCCGAATCTACTTGTCACTAGGCTAAACCATAAATTACCATTCCTGGTTTTGTATTTTATTTATTAATGCATTTTTAATAATATATGGTTAATAAAAATCTATTTTAAGCTTACAAACAAATAAATTTTAGTTTTTAATATATTACAGAAAAAAGTATTCTAAATTTACGAATGCATGTACAGTAAATACAGAACATACTACTATATATTTTAATATGATTTTATGTGCTTTAAACGCTTTTCTAGTGATATTATGACTTCAGTATTTGTGGCGGACGGACGTAAACTCAAATAAAATGACTTAAACTTGATATTTATTTTTCCATATACTTTTTTGACAAACGACGTATAATCGGGAACGACGTAAGTCGAGGTATGCCTGTAATTGTATCATATTATGTTTAAAAAATATTTTTAAAGTATACATGTGTATATGGTGACATACTAATTCCAAAGTGACAGATATGCTTTCATTCATATTCTCAATGCTTTTAAATCTTTATCAGCAAAACAATTCAAATACAAATATAATTTTCTCTTAATAAGTCAAATGGTATATGTATTGGGTTGTTCGGAAAGTAATTTCATTTTTTTCCGTGGAAAAAAACAATATTTTTATAATAAATAAATATTTTATTGAATTATATATTGACCAGTTTGGTCAAATACCTGTTGTCATTGTTTCTGGTAGTAGCATGATTTCACATTTATAAAAGTTTTGATCGTTGCTTACAAAAAACTGATTCAAGTGATTTTTGACATTGTCATTTCAAGTAAATGTCTTACAGTTAAAAAAAATTTGTATAGACCGGAACAAGTAATAATCTGTGTGTGCTCGATCTGGCTAATATGGTTGGTGTGATAGCACGTCCCATCTAAGTTATAACAGTTTCTGACGAGTTACCAAACGTGTGTGAAATTTGACATTATCGTGGTAAAACACTACACTGGTTATGTTGATCAATTCTGGCTGCCTTTTCTCTTTCATGATATTACTCAATTTGTTTATTTGATGGCAGTACACTTTTAAATCAGTTGTTAAATTGTCTTGTAAAAGCTCCAAAACAAAATTTCCTTAAAATCCCACCAAAGAGAGCATCTCTCTTTTTAGAACATGTGGAACCCATATATCAAGTTTTGAAACAAAACCAATTTGTTTCAAGTAATCATAAACGGTTCAATTTTGTGAGGATCCAAATTCGGACTTTTTGTGTGTTTATATCCTTTCATTCAATAGTGTCATTTCACATTGTAGCTATACTTTCATTCAATAACTGTCAACTTTTACACCTGGGAGCTAAACATCTGCTAAGTTCTCAGACTTAATAACGACGCTTACTCAGCACCTTTCGATCTAATATTTTCGTTTCAACACTCCAACATGAAAAACAGACAACAAAGTGAGGCAGTCGTCGCCCGTCTTTTGAAAGAGACGTTGTAACTCGTACCTTGTCCTAAGTGCCTCAATATTCGGATATATGTGAATTTATCATTTTATTCTATGTTTTTCTATCCTACTAAAATATCATTGAAACTCATCGTAACATCATCGAACACCTTTGCGGATACTTTACGTTCTATCATTCTTACGGATACTTCCTCTACCGGATACAAGAACTGACATCCCAAACTTTCCTTCACCCAGAAAGCTCGAGAATCTCAATTAAGACAGCAAAAACAAAAGGTATTTATCGACACGCACAATGTATGTAAACTCTCTCTCTCAAATCGGAAAAAACCGTAATATCGTAATATTGAATACTTATAAAACCGTAGAAATGTATCTAACAGCAGCCCTAATGTATAGTTTATCGTTAATCATTAAACAGTGGTTACAAGCGTCTGAGTAAGTCACTTCCGGTGCGCTGTCTCTCCTTCCATCCCGACTTTGATTGCTCCATTTGCTCACACACGCGACCGCTCACACGCCCGAACGAAACGGTTTCTGTGTCTAGCCATGAAGACACAGTGGTGTCAGTCCTGACGAAACCTGTCATTGCGATCTTTGCCAACGCAAGTCGACCCTTCAGTCACGTGGTGCCGGAGTATAGGGAGGCCCTTCGGCATTGTCACAATTTGATAAATTTAATCTCTTAGTGATTTCACGTGTTGTTATTCAGCAGTTTGCTTCAATCAGTATCTTTATTTTGTTTTCATTGGCTTCAACTGGCCATCCAGAACGTGGTGCATCTTCAATATTGAAATTGCCAGAACGAAATTTTGTAAACCAGTTTTGGTACTGTCTTTCTCTCAACACATCTTTTCCATACACATCACACAATTTTTTTCTCGCTTGAACAGCATTTTCAGTTGAGCGTTTACCTTTTCAATAATAAAAGAGCAAAATATGCCAAAAATGCTGCTTTTGATCTTCATATTTGATGGGACACAAAAAATAAACAATTGCACAAAATCTAACAAAATTTTTTTATAAATAAGCCTTAAAATGCTAGCTGACAAAATATATAATGATAATATGGTTTAGAATGAAAATGACGGAAAAAATACGACTAATCCTCTAGTGGTAAAAAAACAAACTTACTTTCCGAACAATCCAATATATACAGTATATGATAGGACTTATAAAAGACAGGAGGAGGAGGAAGAACATATATTTTTTTTGAACTAAATAAAACTTTCAATTAAAAGTAAATTTTTCAATTTGTTAGTTAAAATTAGCATAACTTTAATTGGTGTTAAGGATATCAATTACATTATAAAATTATTATTAAACAAATTTAGTACAGTGGAATCCCGGTTAACGAACGTCCTGGTTAACGACCAAATCGATTAACAAACTTTTATTTTGCAAAAATTTTGTATCGGATAACGAACGTAACGGTATTTTGTGTCAAATTTTAGTTGGTGTTAGGCATACACGAGTTAAACATTGCTTTTCCGAGTGTTTGTGCTATACTTCTTTTTTCAGTTTTGTGATTTATATATTTAATCAATATGGCATCAAAGAAAGAAAAAAGTCATAGTGGCAATAGAAAACGACAAATGTGCTATCGCATTTGAGAAAAATTTTGATTAAAAGAGTAAGACAATCAACTTTAGATCAATTTCTTGTTCCTTACAGAAAGAGTTTGTTTCTTTGTTAAGTTATGGCAATGCAACACTTGGGCGATCTGACTAGGGGGAATGCCTTCTGGGAGGTGTTTTTAAGGGAAACTGGCCCCTATTTAGGGAAACCCCGGACGTGGAGAAACCCCAGAAAACTCCACTAAGGGCATCGTGCCCTTATGAGCGAGATGTGAACCCACGAACGAACTCCCCGTGTTCAAGGTACAAAGACCACTTAACCACTGGTGGGTTTTTTACCTAAAGAGACTTCGACTCGAAGAATCTTCCGATGAAGTGCTACCTGTTATTTTTTTTGAGGGGATTCCCCTTTTAAGCATTAAGGTTCGTATATCTCCACTTTTCTGCCATCAACTACAACAAACGAAGGTATTATTAAACAAAGTTTACATGTTTTTTGCTGTAATGATAGATACTATGTTTTCCTACATTTTCATCAAAGAAAATTACTGTATATTTCAAATAAAATGACAAAAATTTCGGAGACTAGAATGGATTAATTGCATTTGCATTAATTTCTATGGGAAAAATTGCTTCGGTTAATGAACAATTCAGTTAACGAACAGAGTCGCGGAACGGTTTAAGTTCGTTAACTGGGGTTTCACTGTATTTTGTAACTGTTTTTATCTCATCATATATTTTTATATGAAAGAAATACTTCAGTATAAATATTTTGAAAATATTAAAGTAATGTTTGTTTGCATGTATATACATGGTGATCATAGTTAATGCAGTAATGTCTGGAAAGATATGTTGCAATCCAAATGCAACCAACTTTTGTATGCTGATGTTTCAGAACAGAAAGAAAGTTCTGTGGAGGAATTTAGTTATAAAATTTATCACTATAGGTCTAGTGGTGCTGCATGGACAGCTTTTTACACCTAGAAATTTCTGTCTGTAGTATGGTCTTAACTTTCATTCTGTCCTATCTCGCTTTCTTTCACCTTCCACCTCAATTTTTCCTAAAACTTTTATTCTTCTTTCCTATTCATGGCTATACCAAAGAGTGCAGCCAATAAACAATTCTAGTGTCTGTAGTATTGTTTTTTTCCACTTGTGCCATAAGATCCTTATTGGTGAATTTTGGTACTAAAGTTTATTCTGTGAAAACCTTTTCTGCATGTTTTGAAACATCAGCATACAAAATTTGGTTGTTTGGACTGTTGGACATTTCTCCAGACAGTGTTGAATGGAACTACTTTAATTAGGATTATCATATATGTAATCTTTAATTCAATACAAAAATATACACTAGTGTCAAAAATTGTATGTAAATCAGGTGATATTCTATTATATAAATATCATGTAAATAAGGCATGATAGCAGTGCATCCATGCAACAACATTAATGCACTATATATACAGTAAAATTCTTTCTGACAATCATCTGTTAGGACCTGCTAACAGGAAGTGTTCCTGACACATATGTGTTTGACCTGAAGCTTAGCTTATCAGGCATGCCTCAAAGAAGGCATTTGGATGATTCATTGCAATGGGGGACTGTTTGTTTCTATATTTTTGCTACCTGCATTTAATTTTGAACACAAATATATTTTCATGTATTATGCTTATTTTCCTCTTTGTGTTGTTGATTGTATAAAGAAATTAATTAATATATTGTAATTAAAGATTGATTCATTAATATCTTTATTTAGAATATAATAATGGATCAATTTGCTAAAATTTGCTGAAAAGTAGAAGCATAAAATATTAAAAATAATTTGTGATTTTAAATATCTTAAATCTTGAAAGATGAATAATAAAAGTATTGATATAGTTTAAAAATATAATTTATCATCAATTAATTTATATATATATATATAACATGATAGCAACTTTACATATGAAATTATGTATTTTCAATATATTTATTAAAGAAAATAATGTTGCAAAAATTGTTCTATAGAGTTTAAGACGTATGATAGAAATAAAAATAAAAGATTGGACAGTAACAGAAGAAAAAGCATTAGAAATCATGAAGAACATTAAAGATAATTTTAAGAAGAGAGAGAATGATGTGACAATAGAATCGAAGTAAATAAACTTATTCAGAATTAAAGTATTAATATTTAGTACAGAAGCAAATATTTAATTTCTAGTTAACTTCTAAACTTTTGTTTGATTAGGAAATGTATTGATAGCAAAAAGCAGGAAATTACATACTTGAAAGAAAAATTACAGTCAACACAAATTGATTATGAAAAGAAGAAAAAGCAATTGGAGAAAATAAATGAAGAATTAGAAAAAAGAGAAAAGTTGTTATTAGAATATCAAGAAAGAGTAAACAAGGTAAATAATATGATACCTTTAAGTTTATTAATATTTCTAACTCTATTGATATTGATTTTGAATTTTGAGAAAAAATAAGGGAAATTTTCATTTAAAACATGACTAAAAAATTCCAAATTAAATCTCTAATATTTCAAAATCAGTTATAGTTGATCTAAGTTTCTAAATGTTAAATTAAAAATAATGAAATAGGATTTATGCAGACAGTTATATGCTACAATTAAAAAAATTTGTTTAGAAAATATCACTGAAAAAAATTGAAATTTTATTTCAATGGTTCATTATTTCAAATATTTTAATAATTTAAAAAATTTTTGCATATAAATAAAAAAACTAAAATGAATTAAATTTTAAAAAATACTTATTTAATTAAAAAAATTTTTACAAACATAAAAATGGTCCTGTGCATCAATGATAAAGTGGTTGATTCATTAGTGATAGTATACTTTTCAGTGAGTTAGTCATGGATGATAATATCTCATTCTTTTTCTGGTTATATTGTAACATGCAAAATAAACAATATACAAACTATTATTTAAACACCTTGGCAAACATATGAAAGGAAAATCAATTTCAAAGTTGTTTCTTCTCTATTTCAAAGCTCTGTTTTAGCAGTTCCCATTTTGACAACCCTTCTCATTTGCATTTGCCTAATTTATTGCTTCTTCTTTCAGTAATAATTTCTTTTCTAAAATTTTATTATTGACTTTAAATAAATATTTTAAGTAATAACCAACATATTAAGTTTTGTATTCTGATATCAATTAGTTAAAAATTGAATGTTTATACAGTACAGCAAATTAACTGTATTAATTTGATTTACTTTATTGTCATTCATTACAGTTACTTAGGATTTTTATTTGTAATTTAAGTTCCTCTATAATGTCACTTATGTTAAACTATAACATTTTTGTAGTTTTGGAAATTTTCTATGGGACAATGTATGCACACATTTTCAAATATTTTCTTAAATTCATGCAGTCATTAAATAGTAAACTATGAAATAAATTGATAATTCACAGTTTTTCAGTTTACTAATCACAGTTTTTGCATTTCATTTCTCATTTTATTTTGAAATTTCAACAGAACAAACAAACATCATATTTTACATAATTTACTTGAAGTTATTCAAATTTCTAAATTTATTATTATTTTCTTACATTGTTTTAAGATTATCTGTATGAAACTTTTGTAAAGTATCATACTACTTCAATTCTAAAAGACACTATTGATTTGAAGATAAATTAAGTTTGAAATTGAATTTTAATTATTTAAAAATCTTAGATTTTTAAATAAATAATTTTATTAAGTTGTTACGTAACAAGTTAGAAAAACAGTACAAATTCTATGAAACAAATAGTGTTTGACAGCTTTATTTCCATGTTCTTTGAATGCACAGTAACTATTTGTAACAATAACATTAATTGCTATGTCTTAATGTCTCAAAGATGATTTTAAACATTTAAAAATAGTTTAAATTAAATGCTAATTACTAGCAAAGCTCATTTGAATTGATGTTACTGTTGATCATAGCTGAAAATATCTGTTATTAATACATAATGCATCGTGTGTTCAGTTTGTGATGACTTCTGATTGTTGTTTTGAATTGAAAGTGCATGAATCCATTCATTCTAAGATGCACTTCTATTTCAGAGAAGTAAAAACTGGGTAAGAAAGATGTGTTTTAGAATCAATGAAATAAGGTAGTTCTTTATATCAATATACATGTATAGAATTTCATACATTTTCAGCTTGAGATTTTATAGAAATAAATATGTTGGTTAATAATGGCTATTGTAATTAGTTTAATTTAATTAACCAAATTTTAAATTGACATTATCAATATATACATTGACTGATTTAATGAATTCATTTAAGGTTTTACAGAATGAAGTTTTACAGAAAGATGAAGAAAAGCAACAATTAACAAAAGAAGTAAATGGTTTGAGAAGTAAATTAACAGATAAAATACACGAAAATGAAGTATTAGAATTGGTAAGATATTGAAACTATTGACATTTTATGAATTACAGGTTGACATTACTAATCTGGCATCATTGGGAGGGTGCTGAATTAGGTAATTTACTAGATTACCAGCAGTTAGATTAGCTGTTGAGCAAACTGTATATACTAACTATTTCATCCTGTCTTACTTTGTAAATCAGTACAAGTTGGTTAATGCAGGAAAAAGAAACATTAAATAAAAAACAAATGAAATTTTAATGTAGTATTGTGTAATTTTCAGACACTACTATAAAGTTTTTCTTAAGTTATTATAGACAATGTATGGTGGTTGTGTTTTATGCCATGAGAATCAATTCCTTTATGCAATTGGACCATGGCTGGGCTAATGGTGAGCAGGTTATAATAATTGCAGAAAAACAGTAGAAATGATTTACCAATATTTGAGTTTGTGCCAGCAGCTGATACTGCAACCAATGCCACCAAAACAGTAGTGGCAGGTCAGTACATTAAACTGGGAAATTTCAAATTATGCTTGAAGAAATTGTCCAAATTAGTGATGGTTGATCCATATAAAAAAGTAAAACATCTTATACAGTTTGGAATTATGTCACATTGTATGATGTCTATTTTCTTATTGAATTTCTTATTTTGGTAATGCTTCAATGTAATATTGTGTTGTTGAAATATTAGAACAAAAGAAAACTAAAAGGTGTTTTTCACTGAGATTAATAAATTCTGCACAAGATCAGGTCTAGAGTATTTACATTTTAAAATTATTGAAATATTTTGAAATAATTTTTTTGCAATAGATGTTTCTAATTCTATTAACAAAAATGATCTCAAATACTTTAAGCTTCTGTTACATTATAATTTATGTTGATTTTAAATAAAATTTTTAAAAATTACTTCATGAGCAATTGAATTTCTTACTGCCTCAAGTTTTATTCAGTTGTGTGTTGTTAGTTTTGTTTATAAATTTCATTTGTAATGCTAATTTTTCTGATTGTAAGGATTACATTTTTCAAAATTTTTTAACATACAAATTATACAAAATATTATTTGTAATTAAAATTACATAAGAGGGATTCTCTTATTTCTTTCAAAGTTATTATTAATTTCACTAATGTAAGTAGTATTGTATGTTTTCTAAATATGTTAAAATTTCATTTATTATTAATATGTATATTTTTTTCAATAGAATATGAATACTTTAAAAACAATATGCACTGAATTGGAAGATCAGATTCATGTTCTCGAACGATTATTGGAAACACATCAGGAAAATGAATCCAAATTAATAAAACAAAAGTATGATCTTATTGATTTTTGCTAAATTAAAAGTTACTTTTAATATTTTGTTTATAAAGTTAAGTTTAGTATATTAATTTATTATTGTTATGAATTTCATATTTGATAAATAATATCATTGTACTTTTTCTACATAAATAAATAATTTTCAACTGTTTTTTCTCACGTGTAAAAAAAATGATCATGTAAAAAAAGGATTATTTTTCTTTTGTTAACCACATTATTTCAAAATCATATAAAAATAGAGCATGTATAAGGGTGGATTAAATGAAAACAGAACAGTAGCCAGCCACAACAGTAGCCATTATTTATTTTCAAATATAATCACCAAAATTACACAAGCACTCGTCCCACTGTTGCACCAAGTGTGAATACCTTGTTCGTAGAAAGAGTTTTTGGCTGAGATGGACACTGTTCGAAACTGGTTTCAATGACTTCACTGTTCAGTTAAAAACGCCGACCCCACAATGCTTTTTTTTATTTATTTTTTATTTTTTTATATTTTAGCGGACCAAAGATGTGAAAGTCACATGGTGAAAGGTCAGGGCTGTGTGATGGGTGTTCCAACACACTCCACCGAAACTTCACAAGCATACTCAGTGTGCGAGTGGCTGTATGTGGCCGCACATTGTTGTGGAGCAAAAGCACTCCAGAGGACAACATTCCTGGTCACTTGGCTTTGATTGTTGCATGCAAATGTTCCAGGATATTGAAGTACTGATCATTGTTTGACCTTGGGCCAGGAACTCAATGAAAAGTGGGCCTTTCACATTGAAAAAAAAATGAACATTATTTTGCCCTTACTCTGCATCATCCTGGACTTCTTTGGCAGTGGGGAGCTGAGATGTTTCCACTGTTGGCTTTGTCGTTTGCTTTCTGGTTGGTAGTGATAGTACCAAGATAACGAATAACACCACGTTGTTCTTCTTTAGTCACAAATGTGATGCAGACTGATTGCCTGCCAGATGACACTCCTGGCTGACCACCAGCTCATATCACATGGTTGCGCATGTTTACCAAGGATGAGTCCATTCCTCAATAGGTTTTCTCTTCTTTCAGCTCCCGCTCTACATCTGCACACAGTTTTGTTACACTCACATACACATAAACCGAATTATGACCGCTGTTCCGTTTTCATTTGATCCACCCTAATAAAAAGAGAGATAGGTGTATTGATTTAGATGTTTTGAGAGCAATAGGTGGAGCTCTTATCAAAGTATACTGAATACAAATAAAATTGCATGAGTTTTCCCACAGGATGATAAAAACATTTTTTTGTCTTGTAATGTTTTAATGCTAAAATATTTTGAAATGATAACAATAAATTATGTATATACTATATTATAAAGGGTGAACACGCCATCATTGGAACATCAAAAATTTCTCACAAATGAAAAAACGAATAGGTAATAAAAAATTAATTTTATTTATTTTAAGATATCATATTACTTTTGTAATTACAAAACAGTTAACAATCTTCTTAAGCAGCACCATACCCTGCTGAATGGACATTATAATGAACACTAGTCATAAGCTTATGCACAAGCTCATCAAAAACTTTTATTTTGAACAACTTTGCCTGCTTTTTCAAAATTTCTTCAACAGTTGACCAATAATAATTGATTTGTTAAAGTTCTGCCATGTGTGGTAGATTGGATTCTTTTAGAACACAGTCAACACTGTTATCCGTGTCATTATTCTAATGATGTTAAGAAGGAGTACAAGTTTCAGGACCTAGCCAGAACAGTGGTTTTCAGTGCTCTAGAGCATCTTGACAAATAGAAGTGTAGAAATTCTGACCAGGAAGACTTCAAATGTGGGTAAAACTACATATCATCACAATATCCTGGAACTTGGTCAACAAACTCTTAAATTGTTGTGTGATCTAATTTATGTAAAATTTGTTTTGTGTCCTGATCTGGAGCAGTACATGGTTTAACTCTTGTAGAAATTGGAAATTCTACACTCTGCAAGTTTTCTTACATCAAGATACAGATTTTCCCTATACATATGCAAAATCAATTTATGATCAGTTCTGATGCTTAATTAACTACTAATTGCTAACAGGAGCTTCATTATTTTTTTGAATGGTGTTTATATTTTTATGATAGCTTTTAAATTTTGTTATATTTTTTTATGCTATTTAAGTTTATTTAATTATTATACAGTAGAACCTCGAAAACTTGTCCCTCGATAACTTAGCACTCCGGATAACTGGTCCACACCTTGGCAGGGCGAAAAAATCCTTAGTTAATTAATTTTCATTATAGACAGCTTTATAAAAGTATAAAAGCTCTCATAAAGTATTTTTCTGAGGTCTGTCTTATCAGGTAAATTACTGTACACAGTGTATTCATTAATTTTCATTTTCATGTAGTGGCTCTATGCCTTCATAAAGGACGTACTTTTCCTTTGTTTAAGGGTATTTGGGCAGTTTTTTATTCTCNCTAATTGCTAACAGGAGCTTCATTATTTTTTTGAATGGTGTTTATATTTTTATGATTGTTTTTAAATTTTGTTATATTTTTTTTTATGTTATTTAAGTTTATTTAATTATTATAAAAGCAATTATTAAAACAATAAACATTGTATTATGCAAATTTAAAATTTCTTTTTCTTGAAAATATGTTCCTAGATTTGTGTTTGATTATTCTTAAAGCATACAAATAAGTTTTGTTTAGTATAGTCATTTTCTTTGGTGCTAAATTAATAATAAAAGATGAAAAGTTCATTGCTTAAATCTTAATTCCTCTGAATATATTAAGAAGAAAGTTGTTTAAGTTAGCTTATTATGTTTATATTTGATATAGTTTTCAATTTCTGTTGGATAGTGAAATGGTAAATTTAATGTTTTTATTAAAATATAATTAAACTTCTAAAATTTAATGTACTAAATAATATATTAAAAGGTTAGATTCTTAGATGTTTATTCTAAATAATAGAAAATATCTTAAAATTATTTATGCGAATTAATAAAGATTGTTGAATAAATGTTATATATTTGTGTAGTTTTACTTTGTTTAAAAATGTGATTATTTAATATTCAATATTTATTTAATATAAAACATTTAATTTTTTATTCTTATTTTTTTCTTAAGGATATAGGAAATCCTTGTTAGTTCAAAATTCAAGGGACAATGTAATCATGACTTCGAATTATTGAGTTTTGAATTATGAGCTTTACATATTTCTGTACAGTATGTCAAATGCCATGTAACTGATGTAATTTATTAAGCTAATGGGATATGGTTATTTATACAGAATGCTATTTTTGTTAATCAACAATAAGAATAATATAAATAAGCTGTAGGTAAACAGCACATGTCCAGTGAAAGACTCACAGGTCACCAGATAGGTTTTATTAAAAGTAAAGCAGAATTCCTTGAAATGTAACCCAGATTATTTTTAAAGTGGCCCTAAAAGTAGTAAGTCTCCCAAATGTAGTAGCCTAGAGACCTACAAACAGTGCAGTCTGCTACTTGTAGCCCAATCTTTCAACTCTGAAATCCAGCCATATTTTATGAGATAAGAGAGAAAATAGATAGTCCATCTGTAAGGTGACACCTGAAAATGTGTTACTGTAAAAGCAAATCCATGTTGACTAGTTGAGAGTTGTTTTTGGTCTATTGTTCTCTTATAGTACAGAGGCACTTCAATTTAAATGAACAAATGAACATATTCATATCAGTTTGGATAGAATTTTTTGCTTTGAATTTCAAATTGGCCATATTTCAAACAACTGAATTCCTTAACATGTTAATCTCTATATCCGTGGCTGAGACAAAAGTACGATTCCAAACTATTAGAGTTTGAAGTAATGAGGATTTCCTATATAAGCTTTGAAAATCTAAGATTTTTGTTAAAATTATAACTTTTCTTTCAGGGAATCATGTCAGAATGATATAGAAAAACTGGAAGATGATGTAAGAAATACTCAGGAAACACTAGCTAAAGAAAAAAGAAACAGGTTTGAATTATTATGAAATATATTTAATTTTGTTAAAAATTAAGTTGANATTTGTGTAGTTTTACTTTGTTTAAAAATGTGATTATTTAGTATTCAATATTTATTTTAATATAAAACATTTAATTTTTTATTCTTATCCTTTTAAGGATATGGGAAATCCTTGTTAGTTCAAAATTCAAGGGACAAAGTAATCATGACTTCGAAATATTGAGTTTTGAATTATGAGCTTTACATATTTCTGTACAGTATGTCAAATGCCATGTAACTGATGTAATTTATTAAGCTAATAGGATATGGTTATTTATATAGAATGCTATTTTTGTTAATTAACAATAAGAATAATATAAATAAACTGGAGGTAAACAGCAGATGTCCAGTGAGAAACTCGCAGGTCACCAGATAGGTTTTATTAAAAGTAAAGCAGAATTCCTTGAAATGTAACCCAGATTATTTTTAAAGTGGCCCTAAAAGTAGTAAGTCTCCCAAATGTAGTAGCCTAGAGACCTACAAACAGTGCAGTCTACTACTTGTAGCCCAATCTTTCAACTCTGAAATCCAGCCATATTTTATGAGATAAGAGAGAAAATAGATAGTCCATCTGTAAGGTGACACCTGAAAATGTGTTACTGTAAAAGCAAATCCATGTTGACTAGTTGAGAGTTGTTTTTGGTCTATTGTTCTCTTATAGTACAGAGGCACTTCAATTTAAATGAACAAATGAACATATTCATATCAGTTTGGATAGAATTTTTCGCTTTGAATTTCAAATTGGCCATATTTCAAACAACTGAATTCCTTAACATGTTAATCTCTATATCCGTGGCTGAGACAAAAGTACGATTTCAAACTATTAGAGTTTGAAGTAATGAGGATTTCCTATATAAGCTTTGAAAATCTAAGATTTTTGTTAAAATTATAACTTTTCTTTCAGGGAATCATGTCAGAATGATATAGAAAAACTGGAAGATGATGTAAGAAATACTCAGGAAACACTAGCTAAAGAAAAAAGAAACAGGTTTGAATTATTATGAAATATATTTAATTTTGTTAAAAATTAAGTTGATTTTTTTAATTATAAAGTAGTTTTTATTCCTAAAGTTTTATTTAAATAACTTTTAAATAAATATTTTATAATTTTTTTTATTCTTATGTAACATACACATTGTATATGCATGTTTAATTTGTTCATCTTTATAAAATAAAATTTGATTTTGTAAAGAGACATTTTTCTAAGATTGCTCTGAAGAAAACTTTGAGATCATCTTTCAAACTGCAAGATTTATAAAACTATCTATTGAGTAACTACAATAGAAAATAATAGTGTATTACTTGTAGAAGAAATTGATCACAACACAGCAATTTTTAATCTTAAATAAGTTTTGAATGATAAGTCTGTTTTGTTCCAACGATTTGAAAATACTTTAAACATTTTGTGAGATAATACTTTAGGATGGACTTGTAAGTAGTGACAGCCACTCTCCTAGAGGAGTAAACCTTGATTAAAAATCCCAACCTACAGGTTGGAGGTTGAGACATGGGGCCAGCTCCCATTCCCAGAAAAGAACTTAAAAGCTAAAAAGTCCAACAAAAATAAGCCGGCTGGATAGTCAGGATGATGACAAGGGCTACGGAAAAGGACAATGATTATAGGAACATGGAATGTGCAAAGTATTAATAATAAAAAGGGACTAATTATCTCGGAATTAAACAGAATACAACAGGATATTATTGTATTAATAGAAATCAACAGGAAATGGTTATAGAGGATAAATATCTACATTTTTACAGTGGCGTACCAAAAGATATTAGAGCAAAAAGAGGAGTTTCTGTTCTGATATTGATGAAATATAAGAGAAGTGTTACATCTTGGGAAACAATAAATGAAAATATGATTAAAATTAATTTAACTCTATTCGGTATAAATATTACAATTTTGGGAATTGTGAGATCCAGAATTTTTACCGATTGTTTGCCGATTAATTGTCCTGTATTTGCCTAAAAATCTAATTAAATTTTCCTTCCTGTTGAAGTAAACATCCGTTTATTTCGAAACTAATCCCACATTCCAACTGCTAAGTTGATAGTTAGCATGGTCCTGGGGACAACTTTGACCCATTCGCATACCTTTTACCTCACAACAATTGGTCGCGTGACCGTTCTCCCACGACAAACTTATAAAAACCCCTTCCTTCCCTTTTTCGGGGGAGTCGATCATCAGCCGCCAACCAAAAGTTTCCTCAAAGTTTTCTACAACTAATATATCCGATAATTTTTAAACTCTGTCCTAGGAATTCAGTGCACCTGGATCTCCAAATCAAGTTTCCTCTAGGATAAGAAAAGAAAACATAGAGATATGGAACAAGTTTATGTGAACTTTCTCTCAGCCCTTCGCGGTTTAGGGACTCCTAAAATTTCCTTGACATTTGTAATTGTAATATCCATGTAGCTAATAAATCATTGTTTTTTTTTTTTTGTTAAATTTTGCCTCCTCATTTGCTCTTATATCGCCTGTCGTCTTACCGATGCACTCCTCCCTCCGCCACTCGACCCGAAACATTGAAGCCCGTTACAGCGGGAAAAAGAATCCTTCCATCCATCCTGACAGTGAAAAGGTTTAACAACCTGTTGCTGGATCGGGAGACCTACCCCTCCCCGGTGGTTCACAGAATATATGCTTTAAGTGACAGTGAAAATAAATTAGATAAAGATGAATTTTTTGAGAAATTAAATACTATAATAAATAAAATGGCAACAATAGAGAAATTATAATGACAGGGAATTTTAATGGCTGAATTGGTAAAAAACATAAGAACCAAATAGTTGAACCTTTTGGAGAGGATATAATAACTGATAATGGTGAAAGACTAATTGAACTATGTATGCAGAACTCCTTAAAAATAACAAATGGGTATTTCCAGCATAAAGATATACATAAATACATTCAACATCAAGACACATTGAATTCAAAATCAATATTGGATTATATCATTGTGAAACAGAATACTGCACTATCAGTCCAAGATGTCAGAATTTTTAGAGGGATTGATTGTGGAAGTGATCATTGTGATTAATAGTAAAATAAATTTTCCATACTTTTTAAAGTTGACACTAATATCAATAATGAGTTAGAAGGATAATGGATTATCAAATTCCAAGATATAATCTACTCTCTTTACAAAATGAAAGTACTCAACTATTGTACCAGAAATGACTAGATGATAAATTAGAGGAAACCTACTTTGATACAGTACAAGAATAATACAATCATATAGTGCAGAGTATACGTCAATCAGCTAAAGAAGCATTAGAAGTTAAATTCAGGAACATGTAAGACAAAAATGTATTATTGGAATGCAGAATTGGTGAAAAATAAGAAATTATATTTAAAATGGCTAAATACAAAAAAATATAGAAGATAAAATAGAGTATAAGAAACTTTAACACTAAGCGGTTATTGGGAGAAAAGTATCACAAGAAAAGAATAACAATTGGGAGAAAGTTTGTAATACCATACAAACTTATATAGGTGGAAGACAAAATACTGAAGCATGGAGAATTTTGAAAAATTTAAGAAATGATAATAAGAGAACCAATACTATTCAGTACCTATCACTAAAAAATGGGAGGACTATTTTAATAACCTTTCAACAGAAAACAAGTGAATATATGATTTATAATACAGAAAATGAGGACATACAAGATAATATGAAAGATGACTATATTCAGATAGACATGAAACTTTTTGAAAGTATAATTAAACTTTAAAAAATAATAAAGCTAGTGGCATCAGTGAAATACCAGCAGAGCTAATTAAATATGGATCTGATAGGTTATGTAGAATTTGCAAAAGCTTAATGGAATGATGTTTAAATGAAGAAGATATCCCACAAGACTGGAAAGTTGGATATCTGTCACCAATATACAAAAAAGGTAAAAAAGATGAATGTAAGAATTACAGAGGTATTACTGTTACATATACATTCAGCAGGATATATGGAAAATTATTAAAATATTACTTAGAATAGGAATACAAAGATATGGAAAATGAGGAACAAGCAGGTTTTAGGAGTGGAAGATTTACACTTGATCATATTTTCTGTATTAGACAAATAATTGAGAAAAAAGTTGCTAGAAATCAAACTTCACATTTATTATTTATTGACTTAGAAAAGGCATATGATAGTATACCAATTAAAAAATTATGGCAATTATTGGATAACACAACAATAAATAGGAAAATAATATTATATAATTTTTTAATATTATTTAACTCTATTGTTAAAATTAAAATAGCAACAAGATTATCTGAAGAATTTCTGGTTACTAAAGGTTTATGCCATGTTGTTGTATTTCCCCAACATTATTTAAAATTTACATTCAAAAGGCTCTGGAAATGTGGAAGAGAAAATGTAGTAGTATGGGTCTAATGGTTGGAGACAATACTGTATATACATTATTTGCAGATGATCAATTAGTTATATGTGGCAATTATGATGATTTAACATATATGATAAGAAAGCTGAAAGAAGAATACAATAACTGGGGACTAAATATAAATATTGGAAAAACTAATTATATGGTATTTGGAACTGAAGACATACATGATTTAGTTTTGGAGAAAAATGGAAAAATTGAACTGATTAAAGGATGTGATGAATTTAAATATTTAGGAACAAAAATTACTGATGATAGTTAGATAGAAATTGAAATTAGGGACAAAATTATGAAAGGAAGATTTATGGTAATCTTATGGGATAAAGAAATCTTTAAAACAACAAAAATAAACATATCACACTTAGAACTAATGATTTATATAACATATGGAGTAGAAGTGTGGATATTAAATTCAAATCTAAATTAGAATCTGCAGAAATGGACTTTTTCAGAGGATCTGCTTGATCAAAACTAGATAAAGTAAGAAATGAGGAAATTAGGGAAATGGTTTATCAAAACTTATAGTTGATTATATCCATAACAAACAATTAACCTGGTATGGCCATGTTCAGAGGATGGAAGAAGGTAGACTACCACAACAG